TTGGTCAAGAAGGTAACTTTTCACTTGGAATTTCCAGATCTACAATTCTACAACACCATTGCATCCTAGAACTGCTCCACGAGCCTCCACACACTAGAAAGTCTCAATCGCCATTTTTTATGGCGCGTGAAGCATTGTCTCAGTCGTTGCTCGCTGTCTCCATGCTCGCCTTGACTTTTTGTTTCCATATATGTTGTTTTTTTTTTTATCTGACATCATTTGAGTCCTGGGTCTTTGTTTTCCCAAAAAGATTGGATTTTTTTTGGTTCGTTCAAGCTTCTGTTGCTCAGATTTGACATTTTTATCGTTGTTTGGGGGATCTCCGGTAACTCAAGCAAGTTAGCGCTCTTCTTTGAGGATTGATATAGATACTTTTAGTAAGACATCATACTCTTGCTTTCGTGCTAGGACTAGTAAGACACATGTACTTAATCTTTTTTTGGCTTCTGGATTTGATTTTGAAATGTTATGGATTGTTGACTCTAGTGTGACTAATTTTCTGACTAGTCAGCTTGATACCTTTCTCTCTTATCAACCCATCACTAGTATTCGTACTATTATTGTAGCTGGTGGATCCCATGTATCAGTTGCGGGTTCTCTTTACATTCAAGTTAAACCCTCCTTATATCGAAAAAATGTTCTCCATGTTCTCAAATTCTCTCATAATCCTCTCTCTATTCACAAACTTACCACTGATTTGAATTGTACCATAATACTCTTTCCTACTCATTCTGTTTTTCAAGATCTCACAACGGGGAGGACGATTGGAGTTGCTAAGGAACATGGTGGATTGTACTATCTCCTTCAAGAACATTTTCCAAGTAGTGCTCGGGAACAGTTGCCGGTGGCCCATATTCAGTCCACTTCAGAGTCTATGAATTGGCTTTGGATTTAACACAAGCGTCTAGGGCATCCACCTATTAGTCTTCTCAACACTTTGTTTCCAACCCTATTCAAATACATGTCTATTGAATCACTTCATTGTGATGTCTGTGAGTTTGCAAAACACTATCGTACATCATTTCCTTCTAGCTCCATAAAAGTGCCGAATTATTTTATCTTGTTCTCTTTGATGTTTGGGGACAATCTAAAGTACATAATATCTCAAGTGCTAAATGTTTTGTTTCATTTATTGATGATTGTACCTGAGTAACTTGGATTTTCCTAATGAAGGACAAATCAGATGTGCCACAATTATTCATCCAAATCTATACTTGCTTGAGACCAACAACATTAACATCAACTACACCTTTATCCCAAATTAATTGGGGTCGGTGGTAGATGAACCCAAATAAAAGATACATAAAGGTTAAAAAAAGATAAACAATAAAAATAAGAATAAAAATAAATAAATAAAATAGTAATAATATATATATATATATATATTTAAATATAAAAGTAATAAAAGAAAGGGAAAAGAAGAAGAGGGGGAAATAAAGAAGAAAAGGACTAAAAATGGACCATCTGGATAATAGGAATAACAACGGGTCTAACCCTCCACCATGCTTATAGCTCTTCTCCATTCCGTTCTAAGGCACACCGTCCGCCAATCTATATCCCACTCTATTAAGTCTTGTTTTACTACCTTCTCCCAAGTAAGTTTCGGTCTACTTCTACCTTTCTTTGTGTTGAGCTCTTTGTAACAAAGTTTGGTTCTTACGGGAGCATCCTAGGGCCTTCTCATTACGTGCCCAAACCACCTCAATCTATGTTCTCTCATCTTTTCAGCCACCGGTAGTACTCCTACCTTTCGTCGAATATCTTCATTTCTTATCTTATCCATCCTCGTATAACCACACATCCACCTTAACATCCTCATCTCTGCTACTTCTATTTTATGTTCATGTTGCCTATGTGCTGGCCAACATTCAGCTCCATATAGCATTGCAGGCCTTACTGCTGTTCTATAGAATTTTCCTTTTAACTTAAGGGGGATTTTGCGGTCACACAAAAACCCAGATGCACTACGCCATTTCATCCACCCTGCTCTGATTCTATGATTTACATCCTCATCAATCTCTCCACCTTTTTGCAAAATGGATCTCAGGTATCTAAAAGCTTCTTTCTCGGGTACCTCTTGACCACTTAGATGGACGGGATCTTGGTCTACATCTCTTACCGGAGAAAACTCACACTTCAGATACTCGGTCTTGCTCCAACTTAACCTGAATCCTTTAGATTCCAACGTGCTTCTCCACAATTCAAGTTTTCTATTAACACCGTCTTTGCTCTCATCAATAAGCACAATATCATCTGCAAAAAGCATACACCATGGCAGTTCCTCTTGAATATCTTTTCTTAGTTCATCCACAACTAAGACAAAAAAATAAGGACTTAGAGCCGAACCTTGGTGTACACCTATCGTGATAGGAAAATAACTTGATGTTCCGTTACAAGCTTTCGCACATGTAGTAACCCACCATAAAACTCTCTATGGATACCTATCATATGCTTTCTCAAGATCTATAAACACCATATGTAAGTCCTTCTTCTTTTCTCGATATCTTTCCATTAATTGTTGCATCAAGAAAATGGCTTCCATGGTACATCTTCCTGGCATCAATCCAAATTGATTTACAGAAACCTTGGTATCTCTCCTCAAGCGATGTTCAATAACTCTCTCCCACAACTTCATAGTATGGCTCATTAGCTTTATGCCTCTATAGTTAGAACAATTCTGTAAATCTCCCTTGTTTTTGTAAATAGGCACAATCATACTTTTCCTCCATGCATCAGGGATCTTATTTGTCTGAAGAATCTTATTGAAAAGATTGGTCAATCATTTTATTGCCACATCCCCCAGACCTCTCCACACTTCAATAGGGACACCATCAAGTCCCAAGGCTTTATTAGTCTTCATCCTCTTTAAAGCTTCCTTAATTTCATGTGTATTAATTATGCGCACAAATCTTTTATTCAAGTCATCATAGGCATCCTCCAAGTCCACCTCGCTTATATCTCTATCCCCATTAAACAGCTTGTTGAAGTAGTTTATCCATCTTTCATTTATATCTTTATCTCTCACCAAAAGTTTTTGATTTTCATCCTTGATGCATCTAACTTGGATAAGGTATTTACTTTTCTTATCCCTTATTTTTGCAAGTTTATATATATCTTTTTCACCATCCTTGCTCCCAAGATTTTTATATAAATCGGCGAAAACCTTGCCTCTAGCTTCCCGCACTGCTTTCTTTGCATTTTTTCTCGCTAATCTAAACTTTTGCAAGTTCTCTTCATTGAGTCTTTTATGCAAAGATCTAAAGCATTCCTTCTTATGTTTAATTGCCTCTTGCACCTCTCTATTCCACCACCATGTTTCCTTTGTATGAAATCCAATTCCTTTGCTTTCTCCCTACACCCTCCTTCCCATATTCTGAATACACATAGCCATCTCATTCTATATTGCATTTACTCCTCCATCAAACTCCCAAGTTCTTTCATGCAACATTCTTTCATTGAACTCTCTCTCTTTTCCCTCCTTAAGCTTCCACCATCTTATCCTTGGATTCTGGGCCCTCTTCCTCATTGTAAGTACTTTGTTGAACCGAACCTCCAGGACTACCAGCTTATGTTGCGTAGTAACACACTCTCCAGGGTAGACCTTACAGTCGACACAAGAAGTTCTATCTTCTCTTTTAGCCATAAAGAAATCGATCTGACTATGATTTTGGCCACTATGATATGTGATTAGATGTGACTCCCTTTTTCGAAAGGTGTTCGCTAGCATCAAATCGTAGGCTAGTCCGACATTCAAGATATCTTCTCCAGTCTCGTTTCTCGTCCCATAGTCAAAGTCTCCATGAATTCTATCAAAACATCCATTGCTTTTACCAGCATGACAATTTAGATCTCCTCCTAAGTAAATCTTCTCCTCTCGTGGTATCCCCCTCAAAACCTCCTCCAAGTCTTCCTAAAATTGGCTCTTATCATATGGTTGCATCCAACTTGGGGTGTATACACACTGAGGATATTCAAGATTAAATCACCCACTACAAGCTTAACCAGAATAATCTTGTCGCCTTTCCTTTTGACGTCAACAACTTTATCTCTGAAACTTTTATCGATCATAAATCCAACACCATTTTGACTCTTGTTAATACCTGTGTACCATAACTTGAAACCAGTTCCATCCACTTCCTTGGCCTTTTCTCTAGCCCACCTGCAAGCAAGCAATGTTTACTTTCCTTCTAGCAAAAACATCTCTAACTCCCTCAATTTACCTGTTAATGTTCTTGTGTTCCAGCTTCCCAATCGCATCCTTAACCCATGGGCTGTACTTGCCCGCCACGCTCACCCATCTGCGTGTTGGGACCCTGACATACTTCTCACCAAATTCGGGTGAAGACCTGGCGCCTTGCCTTGAGGCAAGGACCCTAGCACATTTATCACTATACTCGGGGCTCGATGCATCGCCTTGCCTTGTGGCAAGGGCCCTAGCCCATTTTTTGCTACACCCGGGGCCCAATGCAACGCGCTCCTATGAAGGGGACACCCCAACAAAAATTCATAAGGGTTTATCTCATAAATATAGCTATTTTTTATGGCCGGTTCGCTACACCTGATGCCAACCCTCCTCTTTTATCCTGGCTTGGGACAGACTATGTATGAAAGCACACATAGGCAGAGTTACTTGCTTGAGACCCATTTTGGAAAAAATATTAAAAGACTACGGACTGATAATGATACTAAATACATCAACCTACAAATGGTATATTTTACATTTTCAATGGTACCCAATTTTTCTGAAGCCGTAGTAATTTTATATTTTTATACATTTTTTTTGCCGTAGCGTTTCATTCCTTTTCCTAAATGGGATATTCATTTTAATAGTCTTGAAGACTTAAATATCATTTGGGTTAGCCAATTTAGAAATTAAATCAGAGATTTATAATAGATAATAAATTCGAAGATTTTAGAGATAATTGCTTATATTTTCATGTTTCAATTTCTTTGTGGTTGAAACTATTTGATAATGCAATATCTTCTATCTTATTTTGCAGGTTGCGTCTCTGCAGATGAAAGTTCAAACCGCCTCTTTTTTTCTGATTGCAATCATCATAGGATTATTGTATCTTGTGGCAATGGAGAGGTTCTTGACTGTGTACGTATACTAATTATTGAAATAAGTTCAGTATAAGATCCATTTTGAAATTGATTTCAGGTCCTTTATTAGCTTATTTTTACATGCCATCTTGTGATAGTAAAATAGATAAAGCTTATTGACGGATAACTGCCTTTTTTATTATTCATGTTGAAAGAATAACTCATTCATTGTTATTTATTATTTTTTACTGCACTTGGGGCCTGTTTTGTGTGACGCATAAGGCCTGATAGTATAAGCTTATACTATACATTATGACATTTTCAGTTGTTTGGTGTGACCATCGTATAGTATAAGCTTATACAGCAGAATCCCTTAATACATCAAAATGATATATAACTTAATCCAGCCTAAGGGGGAGGGATTAGGCCTGATAAGGGATTAGTGTACTAACATCGTTGACCAGTGCAATTTTAAAAGAATTAATATATTATTTTAATACTAATATATTAAAATAAAAATTAATTTTTCAATATATTAATTTTAAAATATTGAATATTTTTTATTTTTATAAAAATTAATTTATTTTTTGGACACATTGATCAATAGATTTTTATAAAAATTAATATCATATGACATTTTTTGAAAAATTATATAAATTCTTTATTAAAAGATATTTTTATTATAAATATTTATTTTTATCCTATATAGTATTATACAGTCTATTACCAAATACTAGATGATATTTTATCTTATATGTAGAAAATTAGAATTCAAACATGTTTCCGTTTTTATTTCCTATTAATTAGGATTGATTATGATTGATTAGGATTGATTAGGATTAATTGTGATTGATTAGAATTGATTGTGATTAGGATTGTGATAGGATTGATTAGTCATCGCTTAGTCATTCTTAGCGATTCTTTCTTGTATAAATACTCACTCATGTAATTTATTCAATATCAATATACAAAAACTTCTTTTCAATATGGTATCAGAGCGGGTTCGTTCCTACCCTAATTCAAATCTGAAATAACCATCCAAACACTTCCATCACCGTCAAACACCTCCTAAACACCGCCTTGAATCTGTCCAACACAGAAACCTAGTTTACTGACCTCCGATCAAAAAAGTGAGGTGACCATTCGACTCAGAAGGATCCGACGAGTCGACCGCCGCTGGACCCATCGCCGTCAGCCGCTGCACGCGCCACCACGCGCCGCCTTCCAGACGTTTTTTTCCGTCGCGACTTGCACAGACCTTCTCGCCGGCTTCTCCCCTTCCTGTTCCAGAGGTCAGATCAAAAGTTTACAAAACTTGATTTTTCATCAACGGTCAACCCTTCTCTTTTTATTCATGGCTTCCTCAAAACACTCTTTTTATTACCACGAGCAACCTCCTAAGGCCACTAGTCATGTGGTCCAGCAAGGTACAACTTTCCATGTTGATAGTCAAAATCATTGGATCCTTGATTCTGGAGCCTCTGATCATATGACAGGTAATCTTGGCTTGTTTTGTTCATACACTCCATATTCTGAACCTTCTCGGGTCAAGATCGCCGATGGCAGTTTTTCCCAGATTGCGGGACACGGAACCATTAAACTTTCTGAGCTGATTACTTTGACATCAGTTCTTTATGTTCCTTCTCTGACTTGTAATCTCATTTCCATTAGCAAGCTCACCTCTGAGTTCCATTGCTTTGCTAAATTCTTTCCACATGGTTGTGTTTTTCAGGAACAGGACTCGGAGAGGATGATTGGCAGTGCTAGAGAGGATGGTGGACTTTACTACTTTGAGGAGGATGTGACTCATGAAGCTGTTTTCGTAGAAAAAAACTCTATGTTTCCTTTTGATTCATGTAATGATGTTATGCTGTGGCATCGTAGGCTAGGCCATCCAAATTTTATTTATCTTCAGAAGTTGTTGCCAAACTTATTTATTAATAAAAGTCCAAGTTTGTTTTCTTGTGATATTTGTCAACTTGCCAAGCATACTCGTGCTCATTATCCTTCTAAAGTTCACCATGACTCTTCCCCATTTTCCTTAATTCATAGCGACATATGGGGTCCAGCCCGTGTTAAAAATATTTCAGGTACTCGATGGTTCATTACCTTCATTGATGACCATTCTCGAGTTTGTTGGGTGTATCTTCTAAAGGATAAGTCCGATGCTGCATCCGTGTTTAAAAAATTTCATGCCATGGTTCAAACCCAATTCCAAGTTGCTATACAAATTCTTCGTACAGATAATGGCAAAGAGTATTTTAACTCTATTCTTGGAGAATATCTTTCCCAACATGGCATCCTTCACCAAAGCTCGTGTCCTGACACACCCCAACAAAACGGAGTTGCGGAAAGAAAAAACCGACATCTCCTTGAAGTTGCTCGGGCTCTTATGTTTACCACGAGTGTTCCTAAATATCTTTGGGGAGAGGCAGTTCTCACTGCCTCGTATCTGATAAATCGAATGCCATCTCGCATTCTGAAATTTCAGTCTCCTCTTTCTAGTCTTGTTCGTATCTTCCCTTCCTTCCGAGGTGTCTCCTCCTTACCTCTCAAGTTATTTGGTTGTGTTGTATTTGTCCATATTCCCTCCCATCAACGGTCTAAGCTTGATCCTAAGTCTCTCCAGTGTGTCTTTATTGGTTATTCTCCTACTCAACGTGGCTATAAGTGTTATTCACCCTCTCTTCGTAAGGTCTTTGTCTCTATGGATGTCACTTTTTCTGAGAATGACCCTTTCTTCCCCTCGACTTCTCTTCAGGGGGAGTCTATAGGAGTAGATGAAGATCAGTCATGGGAACCTATTAATGCCACAGTATTACCTCTACTTTTGGAAACAGGGGGAGCTACAGAATCCTCACCATCAGGAGCCTCCTCAAAATGGGGACAAGTTTATAGCAGGCGAAAGCCTCCTCAAAGTGTGAATAACCCAGAGCCTCTACACTGCCAGGATTCTGAACCATGTTCTAGTTCCAGCACCCCAATACTTGAGTGTCATGGTGAAAATGATCTACACTTGCCCATTGCTCTCAGAAAAGGTACTCGATCTTGTACTACTCATCCTATTTCTAATCATATTTCATATGGAAAGTTGTCCCCAGGGTTTCGTGCTTTCAATACTATGTTGGATAGTACAAAGATACCGAGAAATATACATGAGGCTCTCAATGATAAAAAATGGAGGGATGCTGTCTTTGAAGAAATGAATGCTTTAGAAAGAAATGGAACTTGGGAGATAGTGACCCTACCCAAAGGAAAAAAGGCAGTAGGATGCAAATGGGTGTTTACAATAAAATTCAATGCAGATAATAGCATCAACAGATACAAGGCAAGATTGGTTGCAAAGGGTTTCACTCAGACTCATGGGATAGATTATCATGAGACTTTTGCTCCGGTTGCTAAAGTCAATACCATCCGAGTTCTCTTATCTCTTGCTGCCAATCTAGATTGGCCTCTGCAACAGTTAGATGTGAAGAATGCATTCCTAAATGGTGACTTACATGAAGAAGTCTATATGGATCCTCCACCTGGTTTTGAAAAGGGAAATGGATCAGTGTGTAAACTAAAAAAGTCTCTATATGGATTGAAACAGTCTCCCAGAGAATGGTTCGACAAATTCACACAAGCAGTCAAAAGAAGAGGCTTCATTCAAGCACAGACTGATCATACTCTCTTCCACAAACACTCTAAGGATGGTAAAATTGCTATTCTTATTGTATATGTAGATGATATAATTCTTACAGGTGATGATATTGAGGAATTGAACACCTTGAAGAAATTTCTAGCAGCTCAATTTGAACTCAAAGACCTTGGCACTCTCAAATATTTCCTTGGTATGGAAGTTGCTAGGAGCAAAACAGGCATCACTCTAACACAAAAGAAATATGTTCTAGATCTTTTGTTGGAAACAGGAATGTTAGGGTGTAAACCTGCTGAGACACCTGTGGAACCTAATACCAAGTTAGGTATTGAAGATGGGAATGAGGTGGATAAAGAACAATATCAGCGATTGGTTGGTAAACTAATCTACTTATCTCATACGCGTCCTGACATTGCCTTTGCGGTGAGTATGATTAGTCAATTCATGCACTCACCCAAGGAGAAGCATCTTAGTGCAGTCTATAGGGTGCTTAGATACCTCAAGAATACTCCAGGAAGAGGATTATTCTTTAAAAAGGGGTATAAAAGGACAATTGAAATCTACACTGATGCAGATTGGGCAGGCTCATCAGTAGACAGAAGATCTACCTCAGGCTATTGCACCTATGTGTGGGGAAATCTTGTTACTTGGAGAAGCAAAAAGCAAACAGTGGTTGCAAGAAGTAGTGCTGAAGCAGAATTTCGAGCTTTAGCTCATGGAGTTTGTGAAGGAATCTGGTTGAGAAGACTTCTTCAAGAGTTGAAGATTTCATATTCCCTACCAATAAAACTATATTGTGACAACAAGGCAGCTGTTAGCATTGCTCAAAATCCTGTGCATCATGATCGAACAAAGCACGTGGAAGTTGATCGTCACTTCATCAAAGAAAAATTAGATGATGGAAGTGTGCATTTGATATATGTTCCAACCAAAGAGCAAACGGCAGATGTCCTTACCAAGGGCCTACACCGTCCAGCATTCGAAGACTTGATTGGCAAGTTGGGAATGATCAATATTTACCTCCCAACTTGAGGGGGAGTGTAGAAAATTAGAATTCAAACATGTTTCCGTTTTTATTTCCTATTAATTAGGATTGATTATGATTGATTAGGATTGATTAGGATTAATTGTGATTGATTAGAATTGATTGTGATTAGGATTGTGATAGGATTGATTAGTCATCGCTTAGTCATTCTTAGCGATTCTTTCTTGTATAAATACTCACTCATGTAATTTATTCAATATCAATATACAAAAACTTCTTTTCAATATTATACAATATAGTATTTTATACAATACCATGCCAAACGTTGGATAGTATTAAAATTGAATCAGGCCTTATACTATCAGGTCTTATCCTATCTAGTACGCCCTTAGTTGTATAATTGTCTTAAGGTGCTTTATGCTGATGTGGTAAAAAAAACAAGGATTCTCTTTCTAGATCCTCTCTATTCCAATGGCACGTGTGTCTACAATAGGAAACCCTAATGCTATATTTGAATGAGAGATACGGAGGGGCAAGGGATAAGGAGGCATAAAGGGTTTGTTTTATAAATTAAGTATGGGGAAATAATCCGAGAGAAGGGTAAGAAAATTCATTTCTGTACAAATAAAAGGGAGTTACCAAGGTGATTGGCTTAATTGATGTTGAATGGGTTGGATGTCCTCATATACATGCTCAACATCAAGATCTTCTATTCTTATTGAAGCAAACTAGTATCTTGGAAGAGTCAGGAACATGTTGCTAGATCCAATGCAAGACCTGAATATCAAGCTATAGCATTGGTAACTTTTGAACTTATATGGCTGAAGCAATTGCTTCGGATATTGAAATTTGTAGATGTAAAATAGTGACAAATTTGCAACAATGAATTTGACATTGTGTAGTGCAATTGGTAACATATTTAAACTCTTATTAGGGAAAATTAGAATTTATCCCATCTAACTTAATTTTGTGCATTTTGGTCCTTATACTTTAAAATGTGCCATGTAATCCCTAAGCTTTCTTAAGTATGCATTTTAGTCCATTTGTCACAATCTTCCCTATAATTTGTCCTATCCAGCTCCTGAAGTGGCTCGTCGTGATTTGATAGGAGTTTAATATTTGGATCTATATGAGTATCAACTTCAATAGACCAATTTATTCAAGAATATCCATTCAATATTTTTTTTTTGAAATTACAATACCATTTTTGGATTGTGCTACCTCTATTCCAAAGGAGCATCGAAGTTTGCCAAGATATTTGGTTTGCAAGTGATGACCAAGGTACTCTTTTATCTAAATGATGCCATGGGGATCATTGCTAATGATAATAATGCCATCGACATATACAATCAATTAAATACTTTGTTGATCTGAATGTCTGTAAAGGATAGAGTGATTAATTTCACTTCTTGACATACCAAAGTATTGACCAACTATGTTGAACCAACCAATCCAAACCTGAAGAGATTACTTAAAATCATATAGATGACAAACCATGCCAATATACTCCCTTGGAGCAATTAATCAGTGAGGTCGTTCCACATAAACTTTTTATTTCAGATGCCGAGTGGCAAATAGCAGCCATAGAAGCAAAGATGCGAATGAAGCCATTTTTACCCTTGGTGAGAATGTGTCTCCATAATCCAAGTAAAAAATTTGGGCGTACCCTTTAGCCATTAGATGGGCCTTTAAGGTGATCAATATTGCTTAGGACCAACATTAGTAAAAATCCACCAATAACAGACTTTCTAGGACAAAGAGGTACTAGTTCCCATGTACCACTGCTTTGATGTAATGATGTGCATTCATCTCATCAATCATAGTTGTTAAATATCAGGACTCGAGAGGCATATGGTTAAATCTGTGTGTTTCAACTACATATCGGAGGCTCTATTATGAGAATGGATCCTCTCATATGTTTTTTAACATGATCATGTCATGTGAGAGAATCATAACCATTCATGGTCACATCAATGGTGATAAGAGATGAGAGAAAAAAAATGTTGGGATAAGGAGTGATAAAATTATCACCATTAATCAGACCATGAATGGTTATAATCCTCTCACATGATATGGTTATGTTAAAAAACACACGAAAGGATCCACTCCCCTCTATTATATAACTGAATGAAAAGGAATTACAAAGAGATATACATGATGTAGGACTTTGTCCCTAGCACTAAACTAATCCATACTCCTATATATACATTCATTCTCAAGCTGGAGTATATAGATAAAATCATAATTACAAATTTTAGGATGCTGAATAGGAGTATCTGACTGATGATGTCATTGAAGTGACTGACAGTATGCCTACGGGGACCATTTTGAAGTGTCCGTGCTTCACTGTAATTAGATATTCTGTATCGGTGCCTTTTTTTTCCATCATTTTTTTATGCAGTTAGCTATTAGACATTTTCACCTTCTTACGTACATATGCTTGTCAATTGTAAGGATAAGAGGCATTAAATTTTCTTTCTTTAATTGCTAGCACAAATAAAATAGAATGAAACTAAAAATTTATAGGTACACTTTCACTATCTCTTCTTCAGATTGGCTCTTCCCCCGGATTTGAGGATGGAGATTTTGAATCTTGTAAATTAAGGCGTCCTGCAGGTTCTTATTACCATGCTACTGAGGATTGCCTATATTTTGTCGATTCAGAGGTATGCATTTGGATTTATCTAATAAATCATTATGATCACATTTCAAACCCAGTTTCGCCACATTTGATGGAAACTTTATGTATGTCAATTTGACTATCAAAGATTTATATTGCTTTTAATCATAGTTTAGTATCGCACAGTACACGATACGTATTGTGCTATACATATCGGTTGTGTATTGCTGTATCATACGATACAGTATCGTACGATACGAAAACCAAACCAAAATTGGTAATTTCATATAAAAAAAATCTGAGAAGTATTTATTAATTGGAAAAAGTTTTTCTTGCTGTAGACCTTTAGTCATACTTAGTTTGAATTGTTTTGTAAGCTGAAGGGCTACTTTGTATAGGATTTTACATGTTTTTCCTTGCACCCCTACTTTATGAAGTTATTTTAATTGTTTTTCCTGGAAAAGAAAAAACTTGAGGTTTCATGGTGGCTTCTTGGTCTTGGAAACCTCTATTTATGCTTGAGAGATGCACGTGGGTTTGTTGCTTTGGCATCCATCCTTTTAAGATTTAACATTCATCCCGAAAAGGTTGGACTTTGAACTAGTGGTTTTCACTTAATGGGTTGAATTTGCAAGGGAGTAAGAGCCATGAGAGCTACTTCTCTCTTCTCTTATCTTTATCTTGTCTTTAGGAAAACTTCAATTTTTTTATTTTTTTTATTTGGATTTATAAAGTTCCTTTTCCTTTATGTAGATTGATTTAATAGATTGATATCCCTATATCTCGTGATAGAATTGTATCTTATCTTTTCATTTATCCTGGTTCCTCTTTTCTAAGAACCATGCTATCAGGAAAGCTGACATGGAAGCACGAACAGTGGAGACACTTTATCCTACCACTGCCTCAGGCAAAGAAGGTGTTCGCATATGGAATTGGATCATGAGTAAGCTTGGCCTAGAAAGTACTAAGGAGAGCAATGTTGAGGAAAGATCTGAAGTATTTGATTCTAAATTGTATTTCCCATGGCATCTGTTAAAATCAGTTGATGACACTCTTTACATTATAGATCACAGGTGAATGATTCTGTGCTTTTAACATTTTTTCTGTAAAATATTGTTTACTCCTAGTGAAAAGAATACTTTTGATTGATTGAATCCCAAATAAGAGAGATTACAATATGTATATTATACACCAAGGCCTAAAGAGTAATAAGGAAACTAATTAATTACATGGATTTCACCTAATTAATAAAATAACCAAAAGGAGATCCAAATTGATCTCTAAGAATAAGGAAACAAAAAAAAAATGATAATTTTTCATACTCTCCCTCAAGGTTGGATGTATATGTTGATCATTCCTAACTTGCTTATTAAATCATCAAAGGTTACTTTGTTTAGGCTTTTAGTGAGAATGTTTGTAGTCTACAACTTGGTATGCACTTATTTCATACACACTTTCGTCATTCAATTTGTTCTTGTTGAAGTGGTGATCAATTTGCATATTTCCTATCATGATGTACATGATTATGAGCAATATTGATCGTTGTCTTGTTGTCCCAATACTACCTTATTGGGAGGGAATATGACTCCAGTACTTTTATTTTGTCGCTTAGATTTCTAGTTTGTCGACTGGCCATGAATCTCACAGCACTTGTCATGGGTGTGGCCATTCTTGTTGCAATGAGTCCGCCAAGGTCAACCATTTCACCTCTGATATTCAGGGGAATGGTCAAGGGGGGCCTTTATTAGTTGAGGCAAATGCATCATTTGTCTTCTTCATGACGGCTAACTCTTTTTCTCCATGCATGAGACGGTCCATGACTAGTTTATCTCCAAACTTTAGCAAAGGCATCATCAAGAGAGGGCTGCTTATGTGCTAGCCAATATTTAGTTCCATATGGCATTTCAGGCATTACTACATTTTATAAAAAATTTCGTTTAGCGTTAGAGGGATTTTGCAATCACATAAAACCCTGATGCACTATGTTGTTTCTCCACCCTGCATTTATTCCTTGCATACTTATCAAACTTTTTCCCCTTTGCAATATTGATCGCAAATATCTAAAACCTTCTCATTTTATATATTCAGTCTTTGACTGCAAATTAATGTAAATCCTTTAGACTACAACGTGCTTCTCCGCAATTCTAAAATAGTGTTAACATTGGCATTGGTCTTATCCATAAGCACAATATCATTTGCAAATAACATACACCGTAGCACCTTGTCTTCAATTTATTTTGTTAGCTCATTTATATCTAGGGAAAAAAGATAAGAACTCAAAGCAGAAATATCATTTGCAAATAACATACAACATAGCACCTCATCTTCAATATCTTTTATTAGCTCATCTATATCTAGGGAAAAAAGATAAGAACTTAAAGCAGAAACTTGGTGCAAGTCTATTATGGTTGGAAAATAACTCGATGTGACATTACAAGCCTTCACACATTTAGTAACACCATTATACAATTTCTTGATTGCCTTCACATACTTTGGCTGTACTTTTTCCTTCTCAAGAACCCACCGCTAAATTGTCTTGTGCGAAGATTGGCTGTAGATAATGGTGCAGATTGTACATGGTTCAAGTTGTGTTCTTGTCTTCTCTTGATACTTATCATATTAACTTTTAGGTTTCAAACATTATGGACCATGGATTTTGGTTCTGGAAAGATAGACGAAGTTTTTGAAGGTTCGATTCAATATTGTTTATATGATCATTAATCAAAACAATCTTGTCTGGCTAGAACTGATGGATTCTTTAATATTTAATTTTTAAAAATAGGTTCTCCTAGGATTCTCGAGGTTTGTGGACAGAGAATCATGAAAAAGTTATCCGTCTTGGATCGGATTCCCTGTGATTGGTTTGAACAGCAAACTAATATTGGCTGTTTGGTGGAGGGCCTCCCACGTTATGATCTTTTATCTTCAGTGACAACCTTGCAGAAGAACATTTTCATTTGTGATATAGGTATTCTTTTCTCGTTGTTGCTGAATGCTTTATAGCTTGTTACGTGGTTGCAATTTAAGAAATTTTTCACTTCCAGTTTTTGTGTCTTAACTAGTTGGACAGAGGATTCTGAAGGTCAATGCAGAATCTGGGGTTTGTTTAAACTTCCAGTTATCTAAGTTGGGGATACTTGGTTTACCTTATTGGTTGGATTCCCCTCTGGAGACATTTTATGCTGTGTAAGTTATTTGTCTTAAACTTCACAGGTTCTTTTATTTTCAAATTCTCAATTCATTGTGTGTACATTATGTTGAATATTTAAGATTGTTTTCCTTGAAACATACTAACTTTTACATCACATTTGACAGTGGAAGTGAGCTTTCGGGTACACCAATTGATCATCTGCAGCATTTTGATTTGCTACCAGGTCATTCATTTTACATTTAAAAATTGGGCATTTCTGAATTTAAACATTCTGGCATTAATCAGTTGGGCGATTGTTTAGTTTTAGTATCCCTTGTCCGTTATAGTGCTTATTGCCTCGCCCCCTTTATGGATATATCTCTCCAGACTTGTTAATATGACTAGGATTATCAATTAGATTGGCTATTTATAAATCTTTTAAATTCTTAAATTTTGTGCTTTTTCATAAAAAATAATGTAATGCTAGAGCAAGCTATTACTTCTAAATATATTTTGGGATCTAGAATTTGTCTGCATTGTGTCACAGGCAGGATTGACATACAGTTGAATGTGGATGTTCCTATGGATATCGAGCTTGTAGAGCCATTACAAGAATCCTGTATATGGCGTCAAGCAAGAGGTGCAGCTACTGAAATTTCTGGAATGGATGATGTTCCGGGATCCTTAGATAAGGTTCTTTTGCAGATGGGAACTTTCTTTAGTGAAATTATCTGGTTCTGCATGCAGTAACTTAGGTTTTATCGGTGCAGGTTGGCATTGCACAACAGTGGTACGATGAATTGGATTATCTTGCCTCTACACAACTTGGATCTGAAACGACTGTTGAAGATGATAATATGGATAAAAATTTAGTGGTGGATGATGAGAAAGTTCGCAGTAGCTGTGTTGTCTGTACTAGTCCTGGAACAAGTGAGGTATGTTTATTTATTTTGGATTGTCTTATTATGTAGAAAATATAGAATGAATAACCACTCTCATTAAACTCCTAATACCAAAGGTAGGGATGTGGGTAAATAGGTTATTTCTTGAATTTAAACGCGTGACTTTTCATTCACAAAAGAATAGTTTTACCACTACTCAAAGCTTGCTCTCTTTAAAATATAGGATGAATAATATATCTTGTAAAAGTGGAAAACTAATATATATAAACACACAATTTTTGTGTAATTATTATATAATTGTTTTCCCCTTTTATTAGACATATTATATAACGAAACCTCCCATCCTACAGGTGTACTGTATGAGGGGGCACACGGGATTACGCCCCTAATAATTGAATCAGACACATTTATGTGTGGGTTTGTGTAATAAAGTACCCGGGTACATAAGAAGCAGTACTTCGTACTGCAGATCCTATAAAATTAGGTTGCTCCCCAATTCTGTTATTTTTACGGGGCATTTTGATTGCTGATTACAACTGAATCTCGTATCATGGGTGAGATTATGATCAGAACTAAAAGCTTTTGACAGACTAATTAGGAATATTTGATCAGAACTAAAAGATTTCGATAATAATTAGGTTGCTCCCCAATGGCATAAATCAGTACGGGGCCTAATTTTAAGCTTTTTACACAAGCTTCTTGTGCACTATATGTATCACTTCTCTCTCCGGGAACTGTAACTGAATGTAACGAACAATTATCGGAAAAGAGTTTCAATACAGTTTCTCTCACCATGTTTTCATGTGGGATTTCCTGAACCAACCCTTCTATATCTTCCCAAAGGTTTTCCTTTTCTCATTCCTCTAGTCCTACCTTCAGTGTGTACACACTTATGCCATCGAATGTTCACCTTCAACTAATTTTTAGATTATGATCCTTTTAGAATACTTGGGTAATTCATGTATTACGAGTCTTGTAATGTTAGTAGTCCTATTGGGCTGGGCTTGTACTAGTTGTAGTACACTAGTACTTGACCTCGATTGTTAAGATTTCGTTTTCAAAAAAAACACATTGGTGATTTTCTTTTCAATTTGTACTAGTATTACTGAGTTGTATTAGTTTTCTTACTATTGGAGTCATAACCGTATTAAGTATTTACCTTTGCAAAGCTTTTTATAGTTGTAGTTGTCTTTCAATTTTAGATGAGTGATTGAACAGCTGACTGATAAATGCCTATATTATCTTCTACCACCTTGCTGTCACTCCTTTCCAACTTCTTACTCTATCTACATAATCTGACTGAACTCTCATTTTCAGTGATCATCTGACAATTGTCCCCTTCCATTCATTATTCATAACTCTTGATAATGAGTCTAACTATTTGTAATTCTGTTGAACATACTTTTCCCAAAAGAAATTAATACGAACCTTGGAAGAGCCTCACCCCAAAAGCTAGCTTGTAAGGTGATGGGAGCATCAAACAGGTGTATAAAAGAAGAGGGAAAGGCCCAAATAAACAATCAGAAACGGGCCCAGTAAGAGAAGATCCAAGTTCAGATAAAGAAGGCTCAAGAGCTGATCCTGAAGCTGAGTTGGAGACAGATGACGTGGAGAAAGAGCTTCACGTGGAGAATGATCATAGTGCACGCGTGGGAGAAGGAATAGAAGTTAGTTAGAAGGGGGTGTGGAGGGAAAAAGACTGAGGGTGTGGGGGATTTATAGGGGATGGCAGCATCCCAAAAAGGGGAGGAAAATAGTGAGTCAGTTGGGGTTTTAGAGGATCCATGGTGGACCTCTTGAGGGTTATTTTCTTCTGTTAAAAGTGTCTTGCTTAAGAGTGTCTCTGGTTGTTAGTAACTCCATCGTTGTAAGGAGCATTGCTCTGTTATTTTCTCGTTATCAATATATCAGAAATAATTTCATACAAATTTGTTTGTGATTATTTGATTTCTTAGTTCCATCATTTGGTATCAAAGCTTCAGATCCTTAGAGCATTGAATGGTACAAACCAGAATGGAGGGAAGGTTAGAATCAGTAGAGAGGAGAGCAACCCAAACAGAGGAGGGAATGAATGAGGTGAACGCATCCATACGTCAAATGCGGGAGATGATGACGGCATATATGTAACGAATTGATCAGCGGTTGTGAGAGATTGGAGAAGGGAGACGACCACGGCGAGATTCAGGAGGAATGGAAAACGGAGGAGGGACAGGAAATAGTGGGGGCATAGAGGAGGGCAGAATCAGAAGATTGGAGGTGCCGTTCTTCGCAGGGGACGACCCGTATGGTTGGATATTTAGGGCGGAGAGATATTTTCGGGTCTACTAGATTCCACCCGAAGAACAAGTAGAAGCGACGTCGATCTGTATGGAGGGGAGGGCGTTGAATTGGTTCCAGTGGTAGAGGCGAGAAATCCATTGATGACTTGGGAGTAACTCAGAGCTGCGCTTTTACAGAGGTTTCACAATTCGGCAACCGGAAACCCATATGAAGCTCTGATGTGTTTGCGCCAACAGGGATCAGTTTCAGAGTACAGGGAGAATTTTGAGATGTTGGCCGTCCCATTAAGGAATGCTGATGAGGAGGTGATACGTGCTGCATTTTTGAATGGTTTGAGGGAGGATATAAGGGCGGAAGTCCAACTACACCATACAGAGACTATGGAAAAGATCATGTCCCTAGCTCAGAAAGTGGAGGAGAAGGAAATTGTTTGGGGAAGACGAAATGAGGGAGGGGGCCGTAGTGGGTACGGGTCCAATGGAAATGGAATGGGCCGCTACTCCAGGCCTGCATTGACAAACCGGTATGCCAATCAGATGGGAGGAGAAGGGAGCAACAATATGGGCCTATCTAATAAAACTGGGCCCAACAACAATCAACTTCAACCCAGTAGTGTGGGAAGTAACCCCCAAAATGGTAATGCCACTAATTCCCTAGGGCATAGCAGCGAACGGAGAGGGGAGAATGGGACAGTAACGGAGGCGAGAAGGAGGGAGGCAGTAACGGTGATCGGAGAAGCTCACGTTACCGGTGTGATGGGCCGTTCTCACCAGATTACGTGTGCGCTTACCCTCAATTAAGAGTGATAATACTCGGAGTCGGAGAGGCAACCGGAGAAGGAGAAGAGGACGACGGAGCTGAAGAACTTGACGGTGGAGATCCGGCGTTCAGATTGAGCGTGCACAGCATCTTAGGCAAAACTACAGATCGTTCGTTAAAGATTTGGGGTCAGATTGGGGACAAACCGGTGGGGGTGCTAGTCGATTCAGGAGCGTCCCATAACTTTTTAGACGCTCAGCTCGCGGAGGACCTCAAACTGCAGACTGATGAAACCCACATGCATACTGTTGAGATAGGGGATGGGTCTCGTGTAAATAACCAAGGAGTATGTCGCGGGTTGCAAATACAATTTCCTGAGTTGATGATTATTCAAGATTTTTTCTTGTTTAAACTGACGGGAGTAGATGTAGTCTTGGGTTATGAGTGGTTGGCTGGATTAGGGAATATTAAAGCTAATTTTAAGGAGTTAAGCTTACAAATTCCAACCAAACAAGGAACCGTGGAGTTGAAAGGGGACCCTTCTTTGACTTGTAGCATGATTTCTTATAAGAAGGTGGGTAAAGCATGGAGAAAGGGAGAGGAGTAGTATCTGGTGGAGTTAGGCATGATGGCGGTGACGCATGAAAGGCAACATGGTAAATCTAAGGTAATAGTGGAGGTACTACAGAGGTATCAAGATGTCTTCCAAATACCTACAGAGCTACCCCTAAGCAGAGCATGTGATCACAAAATCATAATGAAAGAGGGAGCTGACATCCCTAATATCAGACCTTACAGATATCCCCATTATCAAAAGGAGGAGATTGAGAAGTTCGTGAGAGAGATGCTCGTGGCAGGGATGATTCGACCCAACAATAGCCCATTCTCCAGCCCTTTGATCTTGGTCAAGAAGAAAGACGGCAGCTGGAGTTTTTGCGTGGATTATCGGGCACTCAATCGGGTAACCATTTCTGATAAATTTCCTATGCCCATAATTGATGAATTGCTGGATGAACTTCAAGGGGCAGTGATATTTTCAAAATTAGATCTTAAATCTGGGTACAATCAAATTCTAATGCGGGTTAAAGACATAGCTAAGACTGCATTTAGAACACATGAAGGGCATTATGAGTATATAGTGATGCCCTTCGGGTTAAAAAATGCTCCTTCTACATTCCAGTCTCTGATGAATAGCATATTTCGCCCTTTTTTGCAAAAATTTGTTTTAGTAGTTTTTGATGATATTCTTATATATAGCAAGGATGTTGTTACTCATGCGCTTCATTTAACTCAAGTTCTGCAAGTGTTGAGAAGTGTAGTTTTGAGCAAGAAGAACTCGAATACTTGGGCCATATCATCAGCAAAGAAGGAGTAAGAGATGATCCGGGGAAGGTGGAAGCAATTCAACATTGGCCAGTACCCAAGAAGATTAAGGCAGTCAGGGGCTTTCTGGGGTTAACGGGATATTAAAGGAGGTTTGTTCAAGACTATGGCAAACTGGCTAGGCCTCTAACACTGTTATTGAAGAAGGATGGCTTTAAATGGGGTGAGGAGGAACAAACAACTTTTGATACATTGAAGAGGAAGATGATGCAATTACCAACGCTTGCTCTACCCAATTTTGATGCACCATTTGAAGTGGAGACTGATGCGTCTGGAGTAGGCATGGGGGCTGTGTTGATGCAATTTGGTCATCCAATAGCCTTTTTGAGCCAAGCTTTTTCAGAAGCAGCCAAACAGATGTCCGTGTATGAAAGGGAATTAAAGGCCATTGTGTTTGCGGTCCATAAATGGAGACATTATTTACTAGGGAGACGTTTTATCATTTGGACTGATCAACGGAGTCTAAAGTATATTACTGAGCAGCGGCTTATGGCTGAAGGTCAGCAGAAATTAGTTGCAAAATTAATTGGCTTTGACTTCGAAATACAATACAAATCGGGCACAGAAAACAGGGCAGCTGATGCTCTTTCTAGAGTCATGGAATTCAAAGA